TGCCTCCCCAGATCATCACTGAGCCACCATCAAAAAGGTCATGCTGAATAATGTTACAGGCAGCATTATGTTCTCCACGGCCTCTCCAGACCCTTTCACGTCTGACACGTGCTCAGGGTGAACCTACTACCACCATCTGTGAAAAGCACAGGGCGCCAGTGGTGGACCTGCCAATTCTGGTGTCCAATGGCAAATGCCAATCGAGCTCTATGGTGCCGGGCAGTGAGCACAGGGCCCACTAGAGGACTTCAGGCCCTCAGGCCTCCCTCATGCAGTCTGTTTCTGATTGTTTGGTCAGAGACACTCACATCAGTGGCCTGCTGGAGGTCATTTTGTAGGGCTCTGGCAGTGCTCATCCTGTTCCTCCTTGCACAAAGGAGCAGATACCAGTCCTGCTGATGGATTAAGGACCTTCTATGGCCCTGTCCAGCTCTCCTAGAGTAACTGCCTTTCTCTTGGAATTTCCTCCATGCTTTTGAGACTGTGCTGGGAGAAACAGCAAACCTGCTGGCAATGGCAAGTATTGATGTGCCATCCTGGAGGAGTTGGACTGCCTGTGCAACCTCTGTAGGGTCCAGGTATCACCTCATGCTACCAGTAGTGACACTGACCCTAGCCAAATGCAAACTAGTGAAAAACAGTCAGAAAAGATGAGTAGGGAAAAAAATGCCAGTGGCCTCCAACTGTAAAACCATTCCTGTTTTGGGGGTCATCTCATTGTTGCCCATCTAGTGCACCTGTTGTTAATTTCATTAACATCAAAGCAGCTGAAACTGATTAACAACCCCCTCTATTACTTAACTGACCAGATCAATATCCCACAAGTTTAATTGACAATGCTATACTCTGATTAAAAAGTATTCCTTTAATTTTTTGAGCAGATTATATATCCTAATACCCAATATATTATTATTATTATACAGGATTTATATAGCGCCAACAGTTTGCACAGCGCTTTACAATATAAGGGAGACAGTACAATTACAATACTTTCAGTACAGAAGGAATAGGAGGGCCCTGCTCGTGGAGCTTACAATCTAATCTATGAAATATATTAGTATTAGGATGATGATACGGCATTCATTTTCCAGGTACCTCACAATGACTGCAGTTTCACACCCAAGAGCTGGTAAAGAGACCCGGTTACTTTGCTTAGTTAAGGCCAAATAATGGTGTCTCTTTAAGGCCCACCCTTAATTTATTTACAATTCACTATGCTCTCTGTCGCTTCTTATTCTGTCACAGCCATCCTAATACACCCAGTGATTTTGGTTATAAAGGAGCAGGTGACTTCCTACTTCACATGATGGAGGGGGTTTCAACTTTGCTCCCTCAAGCTCCAGCCCCAGGCAGCACGTGATACTTGATGATATGGAGAAGGGACTTGGACACTCTCTCAGTAGATGAATAGATTGACACTTTAGATGCCATTTTTTTAACCTCTTATCTCCATCTTAAAAGTTGAGTTAATTATTAAGTGTTTATAAGGTTTGCCATACTCCAGTGAAGAGATTTAAGTTGGGAAGTACACTCAACTGTACAAAATGTGACAGGGACATGGAAACTCTTGCTCATATTTTGTGGAGATGTCCAAAACTTTTTAGGTATTGGGAAGATATATTTCAAGCTATTAACTCACTGTTCTCCATCTTCCTACCAGTTGATCCCAAGATAGGTATCTTGTGCATATTGCCTGAAAACATAGTCCCAGAACAAACTTGACCATCCCTAGCTAAAATATTGTTTTATTGACTGGAAATGGATTGTAAAAAAATGGCTGCCCTACATACCAACTCCATTTGACCAATTAAAAACCTCAATCATTTCGCTTTTGGGAAGGGAAAAACTCACAAATCAACATGGGGTGTCCTCAAACATTTTCTAAAATCTGGTCAAAGGAGATCAGACTGGCTGAACTCGCCTGCTATTGCCCCTCCTAGTGTAATCCTGAAACACAGCTTTAGTGAGACTACTTAATGGTAAATGAAATGTAGACTGATTTGACAAACAATGAACCCCTTAATGCAAATGCGGGATACACATCTTTTCTATTTTTCAAAATCTCCCTGTACAAGTATAGCCACGTACATAGTAGATTCCCCCCTCTGGAAATGCAGATGGCAAGAAAAATCTGACAGCAGTTCTAACAATCCCAATTATTCCCTTATCTCTTGTCTTTACCAATTTTCTCTTTGGCTTCTTCTTCTTAATATTATTATACAGGATTTATATAGCACCAACAGTTTGCTCAGCGCTTTACAATATAATTATATTATCACAGACTGAGGTAAGTAAATAGTAAATAGGGCATTTAGTTTAGTGTTTTGACAAATTTAAACAACACTCACTTTAGCTCCAGTGATGTGACATCCTCGAGCTCCCTGCCCGGCCACTGACATCTTCAGGAGGTTGGCTTCTGGGTCTTGATTGCCGGCACAGGAGTTCAGTCAGATTCGGCATTGATGAATTTGCAGAGTGAGCTGCGTGTGTGCTGCTTACTGTACACGGGCAGACAGGCTGGTAAGTAGCTTTAAAGCTGAGGAGACATAGCATGCCTCCTCTGCATTAAAAACCTGCCTGTCCGCCCATTTTAATGCTTTAGCCTAAAGTTCCACTTTAACTGAAGGATCAGTTTAAACTTTGTTGGTTGCTTGGAGATCAGTTTTAACCTAACAACTAATCCCCTAAACCCTCAGTGGACAACCTGTAGCAGATTCAAACTCATTGTGTGGCCCTCAGGGTTTCTACAGATAGAGGAGTTGATTTACTGAAGGCATTTAGGTTCATGTTAATTTTACATGGGAATTTTAATTTCACAAGGGAATTTCCCTTAGATTAGTGGATTAAATGGTGCTCTTTTGACTTCCATAATCCAAACAAAAATATTGTTGTTTTTTTTATTTTCCTTCCAATGATGGGGTATTCTATGCAAAGTGTATTTTCACCGCATTCACTAAGGTACGGGAAAATTCCCTTGAAAAGTCAACAGTCTATTTGTCTTTACTAAATCAACCTCCCAGGCTGCATTTTCTGTACTTAGGTGCTTGCTGGGGTCAGTGAAGAGAAAGTATTCTTTAGAATGGCTTCAAGAAGTTAAATGGCTTAGTTTAATCATTTTACAGCATTATACTTTTCTGTGCTGTCCACCCTGTTTCACTTTTTATGTTTTTTTTGTCTGAATTTGTTTATAATGAGAGAAATAGTAGATGCTAATAGTAGTCATTTTTAGAGGGCTGCAGTGAGCACACATGAAGAAAATGTGTAAAGGTGTCAGAGGGCCCCCTAGCAGTAGGGGATTGAGAGTACAACATCCTGCTCATGTAGAACTGTGAAACATAAGTGGATTGGGTTACAATCTCCTTTAAGCCACTCTGGAACTAGTCACCATTTTGCAACCACCAGGCCACCACGATGCAGTCCACTCTCCTGCCAAGTCATATTTCAGGCCATTCAGAGTCTGCTAACCGTTACACAGATGAGGCATAATGCTCGTCTCAACACACCCAATAACTGAATGTCCAGTTGGTGCTTGTCTGTTTATGAATTCTTTATTCAACAGCCATTCTTAACAAAATCCAGCTAGTGGTATAACAGTTGTTTCTAGAGGAGGTCACATTATCCTGCATAGAGGAATTGGTCACCAATATTTTGGTTCTCTATATAGCTGCTCTCGCCATCTATCAGTTTGAGGTATATTTAACAGGCCCAAGGTGGAGCCCATGGTCTGGGGAGGGGGCTAAGTGGCTTTCTTACCAGTACAAATGAGGGTCCTTCATGGCCATCTCTTCCCATGCACCCTCCTTCTAGCAGCTCCTCCCCCAGTTTATGTATCTTAGCTAGGGAGAAATAGCTCAGCCCTGATTGGCTGGAGATACGACAGGAATTACCCTAAAAGTTACACTAATCCTCTCTTACATCCAACAGTAGAAAATATACATTACAATAACGCATTGAGTATACAAAACACCTTGGCCATAGTAAAACTTTTTACAACCACTTTTAGAATAGACATTCTTAGCATGGAACTCACCATGTACAACATTGTGAGGATGAGCAGATAGACTTTCTTCAGTTGGATGGTTTTTCAGTAATCCAACTGAAGAAAGTCTATCTGCTCATCCTCACAATTTTTGAACAGGAGGACTCAGATTCTGACTGAACATACAGTTGTATACCCTATGTATTGCTGCCCTTATTGGTTCTTATCTATATTTGTCTTGGGAAGCTAAAGTTTATTTCATTTTGAAATAAAATATCTTTGTATCTTATTATTCAGTTGAGTTGCCTTTAAAGTTCCATGAGCTTTGTAAGGGGAAAAATCTTTTTCTATGCTTCCCAAAAAGTGGTCACTCAACATCCAAGACATTCCTCCAATCAGATATTGAGTAATCCTAGCCTGCTGACTATGCCAAATGTAAGAGGACCCCTATCAGCAGGGAAAGGGAGCACCACATAGGAGCGGATTTCTAGCAGGCTCGTGTAATATGTCTCCAGTGTATGAATGCCTTCTTGTCTCCAACAATTCTTTACAATATTTTCAGTCTCTGACCAACCCCTCCAGCATGCAGCATGTCTCCAGTCTCTGACCGTCTCTTACCCTAGGTTCACACCTAAGCATTTTCCGCAGCATTTTGCAGAAATGCAATACAGTCCATTTAACATGACTTCCTATGGGACATGTTCGCGTCTCTGCTTTTTCACCCGGTGTGTTTTTTGGAAAGGGTCAGAGACTTTTTTGAATGCAAAAAGTTGCTTTATTGTTTCTATAGACGTTAATGAAAACGCTGTGAAAAGCATGCAATGCGTTTGTGCCACATTTTCGAATGCGTTTTGCATTTTAAATCTGCCTAGCAACAAGGAAAAAATGCAGCAAAAACATAGCTGCAAAAACACAAAACGCAATGCAAAAATGGGCCAAACGCAAACTGCATAGTTTTGAACCTAGGCTTATAGAATGCACAGTCTTTGGCCATCTGCTGATGCATGCCTACAGTGCCTGACAGCTTTCTGCAAAATTACATCCAATTAATATTTTGTGTATGCCTTTGATGATGTTAGGGGCCATACCTGAGACCCCCTATATTGAAAAATTGACCACCATGGCCTTAAACCCTAACCTAAACTTTAGGCTCTAACCTAACCCCTAGCAATGCCCTGACCTGTTGTAGCTGAATAAATACTGCGATTTACAGTGCCAACAATGGTGGCTTGCAGCTTACCCCCTATATTTATAACTCATCTTAATGATGGATCCTTGATGATAAAACAGTGCTTTTCTTCTGTTTAATGAATATTTGAGGAGATGCAGAAAGGCAGGAACACTTTCTATACTGTATATAATAAATTATTATATAAATATATAGGACATATGGACAGAAAACTGAGCAATTCCGACTTTACCAATTGTGTTAATAAGTTACAGGTGACTGATGACTAAGTAGTATTTTATTCTTTAGTGGAACCAAAAGTGAGATGATTCTAAAACTGTCAACTAATTACTCTATTTTACTGACAAAGTGATCGATTTTATTACGTTCAGTGTCCCGCTTGTAGCTTGTTCTTCCGCAGACAAGGACAAGGACAAAGATAATAAAATGCACTTATCCAAAATGGGCTGAAAAAAGAATAGATTTATGTTAGCACATAAACGTAAAGCATGGTTTAGGAAGCCATTATTTTCTCATGTATTTTAAGGTAGTCTACTAAGCTGATCAGTGTGCATTGTGTAGATTAATATGTTAACAGAAAAATGTTTGGTATATAAGGTCAGTAGCTGAAAAATATTAGACTTTTTTTTTCTTTTAATGTACCACTTTGGAAGAAAAAAAAAATGATATTCCAACCTTTAGTAGCCAATGCAGACAAATAGCATAGCCCCAATGTATGGGTCCAAGGCACAGATTAATCATTACACACAAAGGCATGCATCTGTTTCCTATATTCTCCTATATACAAGTTCAATCTCCAGTGTTAAAGTACTGCTATGGTTTATAAAGGAACAAAGAAATCACGGTGCACATAACTTGACATAATTCAATTTATGGGCACAAGCAAAAAGTTAAGAGACTCTGCAAGGCCTTAAAATATTTTATTACATTTTAATACACAATTACTTATTTGTTGAATAAAATTATGAAATTGTATCTAAAGCCAAAACATGTTTTTTTTTCATAAAAAACTGTATTTAAAAAAACTGTGTATAAAAAACTTTTCTTTTTAACAAAACCACACAGATATCCAAAATATCAAAATAATCCCCACTAGTGCAACCAAATGTCCAACAAAGTGTCCTTTTTTCTTTCTTTCAACGACAAATCCTTTTCTCAACACCCGCAAATTCTGATGATAATATACCTCAAAAGAAAAAAACTTAACATAGTGTCATACCTTTTTGGTAATAAATACACACGTGCCCCTTCCAGTGCAACATGCAATACTTGTGAAAAAAAAAAAAATATATATATGTGTTAATTTATATGCGAAAATCTGCATATACGCATATATTTTTAAATCTCTCTGTAACCAAATACCTAACCAGTGAAACACTCACACATCGTGTCCACTATATAGTCTGTGTAAACAACTCAAAATCTATCACTGCAAATGTGTAACACCACACTATATATTCATCAGTGATCACCTTAAACCCTGCACACCCCCAACCAAGCAATCTCCAACTCGTGTACTGATGGATAATTACCCTATATACCAAAACACAGGGCTTAACACAAATCTGGGTTAGCTTCTTAACTGTAGAATTCCATCCAGTATTAGATCCAATATTACAGTTTTTCTTCCATTCTCCTCATAAGAAAATCGAAATTACATATGGTAGATTCAATAAAATAACATCCTTTATTTAGTAACTCACATTACAGTTTGGATAAGGCAGGGTTGACCCTTTGACCCTTTTGAAAAAGTCATAGGAAGTGACAAAAAACGCGTCAGAAACACGTGACGTCAGACGCATCGACGTTGACAGGAAGTGCGATTGCGGCCATCTTGGAAGTGGGAACATGTGGCCAGTGTTCCCTAGTCTGTCTGCATGTGCATCTCTATGAGGAGGAGCTGCCTTATCCAAACTGTAATGTGAGTTACTAAATAAAGGATGTTATTTTATTGAATCTACCATATGTAATTTCGATTTTCTTATGAGGAGAATGGAAGAAAAACTGTAATATTGGATCTAATACTGGATGGAATTCTACAGTTAAGAAGCTAACCCAGATTTGTGTTAAGCCCTGTGTTTTGGTATATAGGGTAATTATCCATCAGTACACGAGTTGGAGATTGCTTGGTTGGGGGTGTGCAGGGTTTAAGGTGATCACTGATGAATATATAGTGTGGTGTTACACATTTGCAGTGATAGATTTTGAGTTGTTTACACAGACTATATAGTGGACACGATGTGTAAGTGTTTCACTGGTTAGGTATTTGGTTACAGAGAGATTTAAAAATATATGCGTATATGCAGATTTTCGCATATAAATTAACACATATATATATTTTTTTTTTTTCACAAGTATTGCATGTTGCACTGGAAGGGGCACGTGTGTATTTATTACCAAAAAGGTATGACACTATGTTAAGTTTTTTTCTTTTGAGGTATATTATCATCAGAATTTGCGGGTGTTGAGAAAAGGATTTGTCGTTGAAAGAAAGAAAAAAGGACACTTTGTTGGACATTTGGTTGCACTAGTGGGGATTATTTTGATATTTTGGATATCTGTGTGGTTTTGTTAAAAAGAAAAGTTTTTTTATACACAATTTTGATTAACCTTGAAGGGTGGAGGTGGATTACTTTTCTGGGAATTTATGTGCTGTTTATTTGAATATATATGTTTTTTTTCATGTTTTTTTCAAACCTTATTAGGTTTTCATTGCTTGAAATGAAGAAAAAAAGGGACAAATCAATTAGGTGGTTAGATGCACTGGATTCCTGCTTCGATTTTCCCTTTGATTAAAACATCATTGCCAGTAAAGCAGACGCACACTTGTTTCTTATGGTAGCTGAACTCTCCACTGCTGAGACAAACACTCTCCTTCACATCCAAGCTGTGAAAAAAGGGGGATTCTGTTACTCCCAAAGTGTGTTGTATTTTAACTGATAACAAAAAAACAATGATTTTCATCCAACCACCTCATTGACTGACCCAAGGTTCCTCAGAGGGTAAAGAGAACCCAAGTTTGGGAGAAGCCTATCTGCTATATAGACACTACTACAGTAAATGTATGGTTCTCCACATCATGAGGACCTAAAAAGTTCATCAGATCCAGAGCCTTGCCTGACCAAACCCTATAGACACTACTACAGTAAATGTATGGTTCTCCACATCACGAGGACCTAAAAAGTTCATCAGATCCAGAGCCTTGCCTGACGAAACCCTTCTAAGTTTTTATTGCTGTTTGTGTTCCTGCTGAAAAGATTTCCTCACTTGGGAGAGATTTCCTTTTACCTCCTGTTGTGTCTGTGGGACAGGAAGTGAAGGCAAATCTCCCCAATGATACACAGATGAAAAAAAAACTTACATGGGTTTTAAGCCTTCCATACTCTATCCAAAATGAAAAACAAAGTTTTGGTTTTAGATATATATTTTAAAATTCTAAGGTAGATTACATCTTAAACATGTGGATCTTTTAGGACTACTTAAGGCAGTATTAGACCCAAAAAAATAAAAAAATTTAATATATAGCAGCTTACCATTTATTAAATGTGGCTGCATTTGATTCCTTTTTTAAGCTTTTTTCCCCTTCTGTTTTCACTGGGTAATCTGGCCACAAATACACCTCCTGTATTAGAGTGCCCCCACTCTGGATACAGGAACACAGCAATATTGCCAATCTGGGGGGAGGGGAGTGTGAGATTTATTGGCAGATTTAGATACACTAACAAATTGAAGCCAAACTCCAACTGACACTTTATAAGCAGTTACAGAAAACCGTTTTGTTTCCTTTGGGGATAAAGTTTTTACATAAATAAATAAAGGCTAGTCATTATAAGCACCCTTGTTAGTAGTAAATGGTTTGTTCCATTTCTGTAACTGCTACATCTGCAATACAGCTTGTTGAAAGACTTACTAGCGGAAGAGAGAAAGCCTTAAAAAATGAAAAAGTAATGCAGCCATTGCATCTAATAATTTTCTAGGCTATATTCTGGAAAAGGTGAACTTCGCCTTTAAGTCATCCTAAAAGAGCTACATGTTTGAGATCTGACTCAGTTCATGCCTAATTGAATCGTATGTTCTTACATTTGCTCTCACTTCTTCTGGTGCATTTCTTGTAGCATAAAATAAATTAAAAACACAGCTAAGAGAATTTGCCACAGCTAATTGACAGACAAGGGAATTTAATCAGCTAAAGCTTGAGCTTGGCCCATCTACACTGCTCTGTTCAACAAAGGTCAATTGTTCAATAAACTTTTGTAGAAGGAGCCTGTCGGAAAATTGTCAGCTAAACACCACCAGCTTCCACTCAGATGCAGGCGCTGTTCAGGTATTTTGACAGCTGGCGGTCCTGGCGGTCAGAATACAATAGCCCACCATGGGCTAAACAAAAGACATCTATATGTGTATGACCAGCTTAAGAATAGATCTCCAGTCTTTTTGAAGAGATATGCTCTCACTTCCTCTTGTGTTTTTTGTACCAGAAGCAAAGGGAAATCTCCCCAATAGTACATTGACCGCAAAAAAAAAAAAAAAATCTCCTCTATCCACAAATTAAAAAATGTTTGGCTATAGGTATACTTTAATAAGAATGTAAACATGCAATAGAAGTGATTATGAACACAGCAGTTGTTTTAATACTAGGGAGTTCCAAAAAACGATCACAAAAATGAATTTGAGTAAATGGTAATGGAAATTCCTATCACTGGCGATGCCTCCCACAACAGTCTATGGAATGTATTATTATGTCAACAATGGTGTACCCAGAGAAGCAGTGCCATCATCAATTCCTGATCATTCAATCAACCCCCTTATAATGAAACGTTAGAAAAGGTAGAATGGTTATAGTGAAAATAAAACTACAAACCCTACTCATAAGGCTCCATGCACA